GTACTTAATGCCACTGAATTGCACACTTCAATTGTTAAAATGATTTTAAAAATTAAACATTCAGGTATGATTTTAAAAAAACACTGTATAGTTCCACTTGTATGAGGGAGTCAAACTCATAGAAACAAAAAGCAGAATGGTGGCTGCCAGGACAGGAGGGAGGAGGCAAGTGAATTGTTTAAGGGATACAGAATTTCAGTTTTGCAAACTGCGTCTGTATATTGGTTGCAACAATTGAACGGTACACTTAGAAATGGTTAGAAATGGTAATTTTTTTGAGATAAGAGTCTTGCTCTATCACCCAGGCTGAGTGCAGTAGCGCGATCTGGCTCACTGCAACCTCCCAGGTTTGAGCGACCTCTCCCTGGCCCCCAAGTAGCTGGGATTAGAGGTACCCCGCCACCACGCCTTTTGGCTAATTTTTTTATTTTCAGTAGAGAAGAGGTTTCATCATGTTGGTCAGGCTGGTCTTGAACTCCTGGCCTCAAGTGATCCGCCCGCCAGTCTCCCAAAGCACTGACTAGTAGGGCTGTGAGCCACCGCACCTGGGCTAAATGTAAATTTTGTTAAGTATATTTATTTATATATTTTTTTTGAGATGGAGTTGTACTCATGTTTCAGGCTGAGTGCACAGCGCGATCTCAGCTCACTGCAACCTCTGCCTTCAGGTTTAAGCGATTCTCTCCCAGTTTTCCCCAAGTAGCTGGGATTACAGGCATGTGCCACCACACCCAGCTAATTTTGTATTTCTAGTAGAGTCAGGGTTTCCTTCCATGTTAGTCAGGCTGGTCTGAACTCCCAACCTCAGATGACCCAGTTGCTTCTAGGGAGCCCCAAAGTGCTGGGATTACAGGCATGAGCCACCAGACCCAGCCATGTTATGTATTTTACTTACAGTTTTTAAAAAGTGTTATGGCATGAATACAGAAGATACACATGGAAGATTTGCACACGCACATGGAATTTGTTTCACCAGAGTTCTCTTGGAGAAGGAGTGGAGAAGTGCATTTAGTTCACTGATGGTACCACCCGTGCCTGCTAATACCACAAATGGTAAAAGAAAATTACGGATTATCCTAAGTGAAATGACAAAAGCTTTTGAAATTTATCAGTTCTAGAACTGAATCTAAAAAACTTGGGCTAGTTTTCTTCTCCTGTAAACTACTGATACATGACATTTTCCATTTTAATAGGTTGAACTCATTCCAAACCAAGAAAAGGAACTGGACACTACAAGAACTCACAGAATACGATCAAGCCACTTTGCCTCAAGCAAACACAAACATAGAAGATCATTGATCAACTTTATAAAAATACTTTTTTAACTGAAACTCACTTTTCATCCAATTTGGTCTGAATTCTGGGAATGGGGGTGATGCAATAGGTCATACAAACTGGGACTTCCAAGAAAAGATTTTTTAAAACCCCATTAAGTTTTGTTCCTTACTCTGGAAGGGTCCCTATGTCCAACTTCTTCGTTGTTTCATCTACAATACTATCATCCTCCTTTTTAAATCCAAACCCAGCTGAATATCACTACATGGTTACTAATGTAATGTAGCAACCATCATTTCACCATGTGTCACTCTCTTCCTCACTAAGAGATTTGGACACTTGGTCAACTTGTGGCTTTTCAATAATGCTGTGAGAAATTTTCTGACAGTCTCAGGACTTGTGTTTGCAGCAAGACTTGATATGTATTTTAAACATCTAGGAAAAAAAAAGAAAAAGCCAAGCATAAGACAAAGAACCCTGAATGAGAAAAAGGAAACGCAATGGCTATTAAAATTCTAAAATTTTGTTTTAAAAATCCTGTACAGGCCGGGCGCGGTGGCTCACACCTGTAATTCCAGCACTTTGGGAGGCCAAGGTGGTCGTGGATTACCTGAGGTCAGGGGTTCAAGACCAAAGCTCAGCCATAACATGGTGAAACGCCATCTCTACTAAAAATACAAAGAAAAAGTTGGATATGGTGGAAAAAAAGCTGGGTGTGACGGTGCACGCCTGTAATACCGGACACTACAGAGGCCGAGGCAGGAGAATCACTTGAACCTAGGAGGCAGAGGTTGCAATGAGCCGAGATTGCACCATAGCACTCCAGCCTGGGTGACAGAATGAGACTCTGTCTCAAAAAAAAAAAAAAAAAAGAAAAATCCTGTATAAAACAAATGAAAGAGGCGTTTCAGGAGAATCCAATCTTCATGCAATACGAATTCCTGAAAGAGAAAATCAGTAGCTAGAACAGGAAGAATAAGTAATGAAATTTTAGAAGAAAACTCTCTTCTGATCTTAAAAAAATCAATCTGACAATTATAAATATATTTTGGACAATTTTTTTAAAGAGGGGGATCCCAAAGAATAAAATAAATTGCCATGAGTCTACATGGATATATACTAATGAATAAATAAATGGGTAAGAAGAGACAACTTTTTCTCATGGAAGAATTCTAACTCGTATGAGCTGGGTGCAGTGGTGCACACCTGTAATCCCAGCACTATGGGAGGCCAAGGCAGGAAGATCACTTGAGCCCAGGAGTTTGAGACCAGACTGAATTAACACAATAAAATTTTGTCTCTTAAAAACATATATATATATATATATAATTCTAACTAATAAGCATAGAGGAATGAGAACAATTTTAAAATCACTCTCAGGCAACTGTACCATAGTCATAATTACTGCAGAAAGATCCACCAATGAATGCTAAAATTGATGATTAAAGCTTAAGGAAGGTAGGCTGTTTCAGCCTCAAAGCATCTCCCCACAAAATATTTCTAATTTATCATGGTGGTTTTAACACACATAACACAAATTCCTTTGATATCCCTCCCTTTTAAGAGGTGAAGCTTAATCTCCCCTTCCCTGAATATGGGCTGAACTTGGTGAATCCTTTCTAACATAATATGGAAATGAAGAAACAGTAGTTTTACAGTGGACAATCCAGGCAGATGCTATCTTAACCGAATGACCAAAGCACAGTATCAGCCATAAGAAACATTGACATCAGCCAGGCACGGCGGCTCACACCTGTAATCCCAGCACTTTGGGAGGCCGAGGCAGGCAGATCACAAGGTCAGGAGACCAAGACCATCCTGGCTAACACGGTGAAACCTCGTTTCTACTACAAAAAAATACAAAAACTTAGACAGGCAGGGTGGCGGGCACCTGTAGTCCCAGCTACTCGGGAAGCTGAGGCAGGAAAATGGCGTGAACCCGGGAGGCGAAGGTTGCAGTGAGCCGAAATTGCGCCACTGCACTCCAGCCTGGGCAACAGAGTGAGACTCCATCCCCCTCCCCAAAAAATAAATAATAGCAAGAAAACATCATATCATGTGTACCTAGATATCATGACATGAGAAGGGGAGATCACTCTGCAGTACTCTCTTCCTCAAAAGCCATAGGTTCTGGGTAATCAAGAAAATACTCGGACAATCACAAATCAAGGGATGTTCTATAAAATACTGCATCAGCCCTCTTCACAAGTGTCAAGGAAGACAAAGGAAGAGTAAGGACACAGAACAAATGACATGATGGGGACATGTTAACTAAATACAAAATGGTATCCTGAATCAACTCTGAACCCAGAAGATAGCAGCGAAAACAGGGTATTCAAATAAAATTTAGCTTAGTTTATTTTAATAGTATGTACCATAAATGTTAATTCTTTGGTTTTGATCACTGTAATAGTTATGTAAGATGTTAAGACCAGAGAAAACTATGGGAAGGGTACATGAGAACTCCCAGCACTGTCTCTACAACTTTTATGTAAGAGAAGAATGGCTGGGCATGGTGGCTCACAATTCATAATTCGAGAACTTTGGGAGCCCGAGATCGGGTGGATCACCTGAGGTCAGGAGTTCGATACCAGTCTGACTAATACGGAGAAACCCTTCTCTCCAAAAAATACAAAATTAGCCAGGCGAGGTCGTGCATGCCTGTAATCCCAGCTATTCAGAAGTCTGAGGCAGGATAATCATGCAAACCTGGGAGGTGGAGGCTGTGGTGAGCCGAGATCACACCATTGCACTCCAGCCTGGGCAACAAGAGCGAGATTCTGACCCCCAAAAAAAAAAAAAAAAAGAAAAATGATTTCAAAATAAAGTGTTTTTTTTTTTTTTTTTTTTTTTTTTAAATTGATTTGCAATGGTCTTATTTTCATGATTACACAGAATTTGTGGCTTTGAGGAAGAATACAGATATAAATGGTAGATAAATTGTAATTATATATTTGGGAGGAATCTGAAACTTATAAAATAAACAATAGCCTTAAGCATCTGGAGTCTCTACCACTTTGGAAAAAGATGCGGTGATAAGATCGCTGGTCTGCCGGGCGCGGTGGCTCATGCCTGTAATCCTAGCACTTTGGGAGGCCGAGGCGGGCGGACTGGCGTGTCAGGAGATCGAGACCATGGTGAAACCCCGTCTCTACTGGGTGAAAAAAAAATTAGCCGGGCGCAGTGGCGGGCGCCTGTAGTCCCAGCTACTGGGGAGGCTGAGGTAGGAGAATGGCGTGAACCCGGGAGGCGCAGCTTGCAGTGAGCCGAGATTGCGCCACTGCACTCCAGCCTGGGCGACAGAGGAGATCTGTCTCAAAAAAAAAAAAAAAAGATCGCTTGAGCCTGGCGGGTTCGAGACCACCCTGACAACAACAAAAAATTAGCCAGGCATGACAGTGCTTTTGCCTCCATAGTCCTAGCTACTTAGGAAGCTGAGCTAAGCACCACTTGAGCCTAGGAGGAAGAAGTTGCAGTGGAGCTGTGATCCCCTTTCAAGGAGAAGTAAGGGCAATCTTTTACACTATTCCTTCTCTAACTTTGTAGCTGGCTAAACTCTACACTTGGACTAAACTCCTCCCACTTTTATAAACAAAATAAAATCAGGTTAGAGTAAACTATTCAGATCATATGTGCCGATCTGATTTCCCGGCAGCTAGTCACTGGGAGAATAAACTCTCTCCTCAATGGTACTTGAGGTAGGTCTGCCAGAAGCTCAGGCTTACTTCATAGGTGATGGTGTTCAAGTTCTGTTGTCCAGAGCTGTGTTTATTCTTTCCACTTTCTTTACGCTGTTCTTTCAGATCAGTTAGTAACTGAAACACCTAGAAGGAGATACAAAAAGATGTCTATGAATAAATTTGAGAAATATATCTATCCAAGGTCAGTGGTTTGAAAGGATAAACAGGAAAGTGTAGTACTTCCTTTCACCCGCCCATTACGCAGCTTCCAACTCTTGGATTTGAGCAAATATGAGTCCCAGAGGCAGATGACATAAAAAAAAAATGCTCTTTTATATAAGCCAAATAATCCAAATTCATTAATTTACTTAAAATTAAAATTAAATTACTTAAAATATTTCAGATATGGCCGGGCGTGGTGGCTCACGCCTGTAATCCCAGCACTTTGGGAGGCTGAGGCAGGCCTCGTCAGGGCCGAGGTCAGGAGACCAAGACCATCCTAGCTAACATGGTGAAACCCTGTGTCTACTAAAAATACAAAAAATTAGCCAGGCCTGGTGGCGGGCACCTGTAGTCCCAGCTACTCGGGAGGCTGAGGCAGGAGAATGGCATGAACCCGGGAGGCAGAGGTTGCAGTGAGCTGAGATCGCGCCACTGCACTCCAGTCTGGGTGACAGAGCAAGACTCCGTCTCAAAAAAAAAAAAAAATTCAAATATTTCCAATCAATATACACATCACTAATCTCCTCTGATCTCAAAAATAGACTATTTGAAAGCAAATTTTCTTAAAACATTTTGTTAAAAAAGAATTCTGCTTCTCTAGTATAAAAATCTAACATAGGCCGGGCACAGTGGCTCACACCTTTAAACCCAGCACTTTGGGAGGCCAAGGCAGGCGGATCACGAGGTCAGGATATCGAGACCATCCTGGCTAACACAGGGAAACCCCGTCTCTACTAAAAATACAAAAAAATTTAGCCGGGCATGGTGGCAGGTGCCTGTAGTCCCGACTACTTGGGAGGCTGAGGCAGGAGAATGGCGTGAACCTGGGAGGCAGAGCTTGCAGTGAGCTGAGATCATGCTACTGCACTCCAGCCTGGGCGACAGAGTGAGATTCCATCTCAAAAAATATCTAACATAATAATTTCTTTCTGGAAAAGAAAAATTTTGAGGCAAGTGATAAAACAGAGTTTACCAAAAAAAGGGGAAGAAAAAATGCTATGGATTTTTAGAAGTAAACTCTTCCCACAAGGACAAAACATACAGGCATTAGTGCTGGGGGCTGGGGGGAATCTCAATCTCATTCCTGTTTTAGAGATTCTATCAGAGAAGTGAAGAAAATGCAGGCTGACACACCATTACTAGATACAATGGAACCCCTCTCGTCTGCTGTTCCTTTCAGAAATAGCGACATGAGATCAATGAATGCAATGTTTCCCCAACGGATAAAACACCCAAACACCTAGCAAAGTCCAAACTGGACAAGGAGGCTCCTAAAAGTCAAAGGCTTGGCCAATGACCATTCAACCATTTCCTTCCTGTTCTAAGCTGCAACCACTTAAGACTGAGCCTTTAGGGAGGAAAGAATATGGCCAACTCTCCGTTTATTCTACTACATTCTCTTCTTTAGGGGGAAAGTCGGCGGGGGGATGGTTACTTTCTTTTTGCTGTCTTCAACTCTGAGAGCTTTTTTCTGGGGGGGACAGGGTCTCAAAGGCTGTCTCCTAGGCTGGAGTACAGTGGTGATCACTGTAACCTCAAACTCCTAGGCTCAAGTGAACCTCCCCTCTGCCTTCCAAGTAGCTAGGACCATGGTAGGTGTCTGTTACCACGCCCAGCTAATTTATTTTTTAAGAGCAGGGGGTCTTGCTATGTTTCCCAGGCTGATCTCTAACTCATAGCCTCAAGCAATACTCTCCTTGGCCTTCCGAAATGCTGAGATTACAGGCGTGAGCCACCGCACTTAACCTACTACCTTCTAGACCTCCTCTGAGTCTTCCTGAGTTTAGACTCTGGCACATGGAAAATTCACAGTCAAGGTATAAATGGTTCTTTCTACACCTGGAGCGAGCCTATCAGATGGTTTTGCTAGTGCCAAATAGGAGGCAAAAATGCTGGAATATCTCCTCTCTTACCAACCTTTTTCCTTCTTTTCCTTTCCCAAGCAACCCTACCCTAAGCCCCCAAAATTATAAATTTGTTAATTTCTACTATTCAGAAAAGTAAGTCAACTAAACTCATTTTCAAAATAATGATGTTAATACCCAAAAGACTATTTGAAGATTAAAATAACAATGTATAAAAGCATTATGAATATATAAATATATCAAGGTGATCACTATGAAAAAGCATAAATATTTTAATGGAAAATTGCAGAAACAGCTCTAAAATAGATGCTTCTATCCTATGACTACATCCCAAATGATTATCTAGAATCTTTGAGATTTACTGAAATTTTCCTATTCTCAATTAGAGTCCTCCCCAGCTTCCCTGAAGTACTACATATAACATATTAAGTTTAGACTACTCCAAGGTCCACCAGATGGTGCCACATGTCTTGTTTTAAAGTGGAAAATTCAAACAAATTCTTTTTTTTTTTTTTTTAAATGGAGACGGAGCCTGGCTGCATTGCCCAGGCTGGAGTGCAGTGGTGCAATCTTGGCTCATTGCAACCTCCACTTCCTGGGTTCAAGTTATCCTCCTACTTCAGCAGGGATCCCAAGGAGCCGGGACTACAGGCATGTGCCACCCCACCTGGCTAATTTTTGTATTTTTAGTAAAGATGGGGTTTCACCATGTTGGCCAGGCTGGTTTTGAACTCCTGACCTCAAGTGATCCACCTGCCTCAGCCTCCCAAAGTACTGTGATTATAAGCGTGAGCCATTGCAACCGGCCTGAATTCAGTCATTTCTAATCAAAATGAATTCAACAATCTTAGTTACAAAGGGCAAATTATCAGAGAGGAATATGTAACAGTTCAATTTACTTTGTAGTTACTGAGAAGCGCAGAATTGGCATCCTTCCTGAAAAAGAAAAGTAAGCTATCATCAGTCTGCACTCACACCCCTTTCTGGGTATCAAATACCTGTAAAAGAATTCCTGTCAAGATGGGGGCCGGGCGCGGTGGCTCATGCCTATAATCCCAGCACCTTGGGAGGCTGAGGCAGGCGGATCACCAGGTCAGGAAATCAAGATCATCCTGGCTAATCAAGACCATGGTGAAACCCCATCTCTACTATAAATAAATAAATAAATAAAACAATAAATTAGCCAGGCATGGTGGCAGGGGCCCTTAGTCCAAGCTACTCGGGAGGCTGAGGCAGGAGAATGGCATGAACCCAGGAGATGGAGCTTGTAGTGAGCCAAGATCGTGCCACTGCACTCAAGCCTGGGTGATAGAGACAGACTCCATCTCAAAAAAAAAAAAAAAAAAAAAAAAAAAAAAATTCCTGTCAGGATGTAGTAGTCCAATTTTGGAATTTGGGGGCTACAACCTAAAACTGAAACTGAGAAATGTCTTAAGTCCACAGACTTGGAATCAAAGTGTTGTCCCATCACACAGCCATGTCCTTTCCCCATTACTATCTGCCTCCCATCAGCTACTGACATCCTGGGCAGCCACATCCTCCTGCTGAATCAACAGAAATGGGCCACTTAACACTAATGTCACCACTGGGAATTCCAGCCATGGTCAAGTATCCTGCCAAATATCCACCGTGCTCCAAGGGTGTTCACCACCTACATCAACTCAACAGGCAGAGTCAGGGTGGCAAGCAGCGGCCAAAAGCCTGGTTCCCTGTGTAACAGTTAATCCAGGCAATATGCCATCTTTCCTGAGTAAAGAAACACAATGATGTTACATATATTAAATCACAATCGATCCACCCTACAATAGCACAACAGAAAGCATCGTTTCAGCAGTCTGGAGGCAGTGAAGTATGACAAAGAACATAGTTTTGAAATCAGATTTGGGTTCATATTCTAGCTCTGTCACTTATATGCTGTGAGAGTTTTAGTTAAGTTAATTACTCCCTAAGTTTTCCTTCTAAAATAAAAATGGTATGAAACTAGTATTTAAAAGTGTGGCCTGGATTTCAGTCCAGCTCCTGAATTCTTTGGCTATGTGAATCTGGGCAGGTTACTTCATCTCATGATGCTTAAATTTCCTATCTATGAAATGCAATTACAGTATCGGCCCTGTAAGACTGTTCATAGGGTTCACTGGAAACATGTGAAGTACCTGGAACATAATAAGTGCTCAATAAGCACCAACGTTATCATTACCACTACCTGTGCAACTACCACTACCACCAGCTCCTCCTACCTCATCAAACTGTTATGATGAAGTGAGACAACAAATTTTAAAAGTTTAGAATAGTTCTTGGTACTTGTATTAACATTTCCATAATGGAAGGTTATTATTTGTAAGATATTATCTCAGTTAATTCTCATTAAAAATCCTGTGATGTAGAAGCTATTCGTATGATTCCTACTCTATAGAGAGGAAGCCAAGGTTCAGAAATTAAATAACTTGCTCAAGGTCACACAGTAAGAAGTCTAAATGGAGTAGAAGGCAACTATGAAATTGTGGAAAATGAGACTGGACTGGATGAATGGAAATTCATAATGCAGAATCCTGAAAAATCAGGTAGAGGGGTCTGCACTTGACATAATGTGCAACAGAGACACCTGTATTTTCTTAAACCAGGAGTGCGGCGAGATGATGCAAATGATGACCCAAGATTTCAAAAGCACGGACCAAACAGAGAGGTGATTTCCCAGCCAATAAATAAAGCAAAACAAACAGTGGTTCACACAGGGCTCGACCTAGGCCTTAGGTCATCAGCACAGTGATGTCAGCACTGTAATCAAATCAGCTCTGTGCTACCAGTGATCCAAATGCTACCAGTGATTCAAGCTACAATTTCACAAAAGTGCTGCTTTGCCCAAATGACCACAAACACACTCAGGTCACAGAGTATCATATTTGAAAGGAACCTAATAGAGGAAGGACAATGCATAATTAGTGCATGTGATGCAGTTCATTTAAAATTGAAAATGACAAGTGAAACCACATGTCATCTTTGCCTACTTAATCAGGAAATCAGCCCACTGGCTTCCTCCTATCTTTGCTTGAAATTGAG